TTCAGAAGGCTGTAAAATAAATTCTGTACATCAAAAGCTACTATTCAGACAACCAAATGGTTAATGCTCGCTGAAAAGTAACCACTACTGGAACATTTCAAAATATGTCTATAAATTGTTTTTTAGATGGTAAAAGGCTGCGGATGTTATTGATTTGATGTGGCTGTTAAAGTTCAAGTCTGAGTCCATTATTACCCCTAGATTTCTTGCCTGATTTGAAGGTTTTAGAGAGAGAGACTGGAGGTGATGCTGACACTGTCCCTTTGTTTCTGTGGACCAAACACTATGACTTCAGTCTTGTCAGAGTTTAGCTGGAGAAAGTTGTTTTGCATCCATAAAGCAGGACTAAACCAGAACTGAACCAGGACTGAGTGTCGGGACTCGGTCTCTATCTCTCTCCCTCTCTCAACCCCAAGATTAGTCCTGGTTTATTTATTTTATGCTTAATATATTTATGCAAATTTTTTTCAATCCTATGCACACGCATATTTATGAAAGTTTCGTTTTTAGCCGCTGCCGCTGTCAAACTCCCACGAGTCTGCACGCGGCGTGAAGAGAAAAAAAGTGAGAGAAAGAGAAAACACGACTCCCAATAAGGATCAGGCTCCCGTCGTTCGCTTCAAAGAGCCGGCTCTAAGAGCCGCTTTGTTCGCGACCGACCCATCACCAGCCATAAATGCTGCACGCCGCAGTAATTAATTATATGTGCAAATGTAATCATTCACACGTCTATTCTCAGCTCATTTACAGATCAATGCAGGTCCAGTAACAAATATACGGACAATATAGTCAGTTTACAACAGACCAATAGAAAACCTATCAGAATGAAACAAAACTAGCTTCAAAGTCGATGTATTTCCAACACTCAGCGCTCACACAGGCTCCTCCTCACATCACAAGTCTGCACTAATAAATGTCCTTTTAATCCAGACTCAAACCAATTGTCCATAAAAAAGAATATAATCTCAGTGTTGCACATGGATCTGTGTCTGCAGGTGTAAACAAAGGCACGTGACTCTGTGGTGTGTTCAGGGACAGTACGGACACACACACAGACAAATGACTCCGCAGATAAATACTGATGTGGAGCCACATATTTGAACATTTATCTGTCTTTAATTGGATTAAATGAACATAATGTAGAGAGTCTAAGATTTATAACGAGGTATAACATGCAATGCATGAAATATCGGCCGATAGCCGATATGCCTCCAGTTGCTCATATCGGCCAATAATATCGGCCAACCAATAATATATCGGCCAGGCTCTACAATTTATTATTTATAATGTCAAAATCTTGTTCTCATAGATTCAGTCTTGTGTCTCATTTTGAATTGTGGATATCCAATCGCCCTAATGAGTACATACAAATAAAACTTACACATGAAGTTAAATCCTCCAGGTAAAGTAGTCCTCCTGACCAAGACCAGCTCAAGATCTGGAGATGGTCCCCTGGGTGCTCACAGAGGTGACTACAGCAGCTCTGAAGCATGGGTCAAATGCAGCTTTTACAAATTTCACTATGTGTACAATAAAATGTCTGAGCCTTACCTTAATAATTATAAATGAAATGAAATAATCCGGTTTATGGTTCTGACTATGACCAATGACTCCCACATAAAAGACTTTTGTGAAGAGAAAGCCTCTGTGATCTCTAGAGGATTAATCTGATCCCCATTTCTTCCTGTGGTCGTCTTTAGTTGAATTAAAAGTACATTTTGATTATTACAGCGACATCTTAAATACACCACACGCCTTTCACTGTTAAAGGAGCATTGTGTAACTTTTCTGGTGGAGGGTCCATCAAACGCTTTTCTCCACAGAGATGTTATTGCTTTGTCTGGAATGTTTCACAGTAAATAATTTCACTTGTGGATCAATAAAGTCTCAGTCTAAGTATAGTATTAAACCTTTCTATCCTCAGGAGACCAAACCAGGGCAGGTTACAGGTCAGATCTGTGGAGAGGCGACCCCACTCACAGTCAGAATGTCTGTTTTTCTAGGGATTTTTGAGCTACAAAACCATCTGTGATTGAATAAATGTAAAGTAGAGCTGTTTAATGTCATACTGCGGAACATTCCAGGTAGAGAAATGGCATATTTACAGAAACAAGCAGGTGATGGAGGTTACAGTGCACCTTTAACTGCCATTACTTTAAAAGATGAATGATATTTACACTTTTTTTGGATATGGCACATCACCTGCACGATTCCATGAAAATAGAAAGTTAAAACCATTTGGAAGTTTCTATATAAAGATAGATGCGTTTTATGCCATACTGTGGAATATTATACAGCCAAAGGAACAACATTTCCATGGAAACAGCAGGTCAAATACGAGTCAGATTTGTGGAGATGCAAGCCCACTCAAAGTAAGTTTTTCATTGCAACAGACGCAACCAAAATGAATGAAAAAAACACTGAATAAACTAAAAACATGCTTTTATTTGATTATTTTTTTTAGCCACAAATGTACATAGTGTGGCTTTAAAGGTACATTATGCAACTTTTCTGGTGGAGGGTCGTCAAATGCTTTTCTCCATGCTTGAAATGTTCCACAGTGTGACATTTAAAAGCTCCACCTTACCTTTATTCAATTACAGGTGGTTTTAGAGCTAAAAAAATATCTGGAAAAACAGACATTATGACTGTGAGCGGGGTCGCCTCTCCACAGATCTGGTCTGTAACTTGTCTGGTGTGGTCTCCATGAAGATAGAAAGGTTTAATGCCATACTGTGGAACATTCCAGACAAAGCAACAACATCTCCATGGAGAAAAGCTTTTGATGGATCCTCTACAGGAGTGTCAAACTCAAATTCACAGAGGACCAAAAGTAAAACTGGGACTAAGCTGTGGACCAAATGATATATTTTACTGAAAAATTTCAACAACATCTGCATGTTTTCTCTTCTTTCGATATATGTAATATTAAACCTTTTCTTATTCAAATAAATGTTTAATAATAGTTTTGCTTAAACATTGAACCCAAAGCAAGCATAATATAAAATAATAACATTTTAAATAAATAATGTCTCTATAGTCTATCTTTTGCCGGCGGGCAGCGCTAATACATATTTGATATGATCTCGTGGGCCAAATATAATATAATAAAACAGTTTTTTCATGTCTGCTCTTCTAGAAAAGTTGACATTCAAAATAACATGCACCTCTGTGATTGGTTATTGGATCTGGATTCTAAAAAAAAAATTTGATGGCCACAGAAAAAAACATAGATAACTGTAGTTAGTTTTAGTGAGTTTAGTTTTGACTTGAAGCAGCTGAGCTCCAGGTCACAGTTGTAAACAAACCAGAACAAACTGGTTCAAGTGTCACCTCTGCAGCCACTCCTTCAGATCTGTGCTTCTTTCATGTTTCTGCTTGTGTGTGTGTGTTTGTGTGTACGTGTGTTTGTGTGCGTGTGCGTGTGATACTTCCTGTTTTATGCCCTTCTAACCTTTCACCACTGTGACAATAATCTGTGTCAACAATTCCTCCTTATTTATAGTTGAATAGTTCTAAACCAGTGACACGGGAACTAAACACAGAGGTATTTGTATTTCTTTGTGAAGGTTTTGAATAAGAAAAAATAGTTGCTCACAAACCAGTTCTGTTCAGGAGAAACAGGGAAGTGAAGCTTGTAGTTCTGCATGGAAAAATATATCATGTTTCCAGAACAACTTTGCTTTATGGAGGCTGCAGTGCTGTGAGACGACCACAAGAGGGCGCCAGTGTATAGACAATTTCTATATAGTGTATTTGAAAAAACTAAATGCAGTGATTCAAGGAAAAGAGCCAGTGGATTTTCACAAACAGAAAACAAATAAATAAAAATAAACATATATGATATAAATTGAAGTTATTATATGAGCATGTCTGTTACTACAAAAACATTTAATCTGAAAACAGAAAAACTAAAATGAATACTTCACAAAACAAGCTAAGAGTTTTAATTAATGTCGGGTGACCCATCCATCCATTTTCTTCCGCTGATCTGGGGCTGGGTCATGGGGGCATCAGTCTAAGCAGGGACGCCCAGACTTCCTTCACTCCAGACATTTCCTCCAGCTCCTCCAGAAGGACCCCAAGGCATTCCCAGGAGACATAGTTCCTCCAGCACAGGGGTGTCAAACTCAAATTCACACAGGGCCAAAATAAAAAAATGGGACAGTGGGCAAACTAAATCTTTATCGAAAACACATCATTTGCATGTTTTGTCTTCTTTTGAGATATGTAATTAATTAAATATTAAAATAAATGTTTAATAATAGTTTTGCTTACACATTGAATCCTGAACAAGCATAATATAAAATAAAAACATTTTAAATAAATAACGTCTCTATAGTCTATCTGTAGCTGGTGGGCGGCTCTAATACATATTTGATATGATCTCACGGGCCTGAGTCTGACAAGTCTGCTCCAGCATGTCCTGGGTCTTCCTTGAGCCCTCCTACCGGTGGGACAAGCTCGGAACAACTCCCACAGGAGGCGTCCAGGAGGCATTCGGAACAGATGCCTGAGCCACCTCAGCTGCTCTTCTTGACATGGAGGAGCAGCAGCTCTACTCCGAGCTCCTCCTGTGTGATTGAGCTCCTGACCCTGTTTCTAAGGAAGCGCCCAGCCATTGTGCAATCTCGTCCTTTCAGTCATTACCCAGAGCTCATGACCATAGATGAGGGGAGGAACGTAGATCGAGCGGTAAATCGAGAGCTTCGTCATGTAGGGTGACTGAAGTCCCAGTTCTAAGCCCTGTGTCCCTTGTCCCAGTAGATTTATACAAAAGCTGTGATTTGTCCAAGTTTTATACAAGAAATGTCCCAGGTGTCCCTATTTTTGACTTATTTGATAATAACCAACAGTAAAAAGTGGAATATATGAAACAAAACACAACTCCAGGTCTGTTTTTGAGGAAACGACATTATTACATTAAAGTGAAAGTGAAATATAGGACCTTAAAGTATTATGACTACACTGTTTTTACAGATTTGTCTTTCTGTTTTCAGATATCCAGGAGTATTACGAGCTGACCATCATAGCTGACTCCGGAGCCCAGTCTGAACATGTCCCCTCCTCGACCCCCTCCTCTGCCCCTTCACCTGCCCCTCTCACCCCCACAGCGTCTGGAGAATCTACAAAACCCAAAATCTCCCCCAAACCCAAGTCCTTCAAGTCTCCGGCTCCTCCCATACCCGCCGGAGTCCCGCCAGCCAAACCGACGCCATCGCCGCTCCAATCCCAACCGAGCAAGAAGTACCGCGCTCCTCTGCCTCCCGCTGTCTCCAAGTCTTCCGCCGGTGACCCAACTCTGAAAGAAATGCCACAAAACGGAGAAAAAGACTTGTCCGATCCCGCTTCTGAGTACTCCACCATCTCACCCCACCCTCCAGTGAGCGCAGGGGAGCAGGTGGTGGTATCTGCCCTGGTTTCCAGCACCATCCAGAGTCTGATGCCCTCTTCTCCGGCCGATAAGGGGACGTCCCATAATGTTACGCCCAAAAGTCCAAGTTCGAACAGTAAAGAGGCCGCGTCGCAGAAGGGGACCCCCACAGCCCAGAGCCCGAGCGGTTCGACCCAGGGAAAGTTCACCTTCACGGGGATCAGTCCGACCATCAGCCCTGGGCCGTTTGCCAAAGGGCCCCTGCTCAGGTAAGAACACAAAACACAACAAATGTACACTTTTTTTATTACCTATACCAGTTTCATTTTGTTTAAAGGTGTATTGTGTAACTTTCCTGACCTGTAAATTGGTTCGATGAAGATAGAAAGGTTTTATGCCATACTGAGAAACATAAGCAATAACATCTCTTTCCACTAGAAAAGTTACACAGTGCTTTTTTAAAGTCACAGTATGTAATTTTTTAGCCAAATATACACTAAAAGAAAGCATCATTTTCAGCTTTTTGTGTTTATTGCACTGAAAAACACAAAAACATGCGTCCTTACTCTACTGGCTCGTATCTACACAAACCTGACTCATGTTTGGCCTGTGTGGAAATGTTGTTCCTTTGGCTTTAAGATACTGTATTTTTTGGACTATAAGGTGCACCGGATTATAAGGCGCAGTATCAGTAATGTTGAATTCTCTTGTCTATTTTCATTCGTAAGATGCATCAGATTATAAAGTGCATTAAGCAAAACAAATAGACGATACTTGAGATTGATCCTTAGCCCAGGCGTCCATGATTCATTTGGAGTTTGTGGTGTAATTCACCCGGTGTTGCCTCTTGCCTTGTCTTGGTGAATGTGGATGATGAATGTGAATGTGGGTGGAACATTTAAGTTTGTTTTTTTATTTCCTACGAGGACGACTCAAATATACATTGAGTAATAATGTGTTTAAATGCAGCTTTACGCACATTTGTTTATGTTTTACAGAAACAAAATTTAAACCCACATGACTCATTTGCATAAACTATAAGCTCTGAAAAAACAACTTGCTTTTTGAGATTGTGTACCATATAAAATCAAATTAATACATAAGGCGCACCGGATTACAAGGCGCAGTGTCGATTTTTGAGAAAATTATAGGACTTTAAGTGCGCCTTATAGTCTGAAAAATATGTTATTTTCTGTTACAATGTTGCGTCTCTATCACAAATACACCTGGTTGTGTTTTGCTTCATTCACACATTTTCACACACAAAATACTCACAGGATCTGGTAAAAAAGTTAATGCAATCAAAGAAACCATAAAGAAGAAATGGGACATCTGAAAATGTGAATTAGAGAAGTTTTGTTAGAAAGACCAACAATTTCTTTTTGAAAATCCTTCTGGATTTATATCCTGAAAGCAACAGAATCCCCTGATTTAAAACATGATGTAGATTTTACTCATTTTTTGTGAACTGTTTTATCTTTTATCTTATTCTTTACGGTTGTATATATGGATTTATTTATATTATGGATCATGAACTTGTTAATTTCATGAACTGACTGGTGACTTTGATAAAGTTCCTATCTTGTTCACTGTTTACTCTTTGATTCAGTCAAGTGATGACTTGACATGTCTTCTTGTTATAAAAGAGCCCTGGCGGACATTTTGCTCTTTTAACATGCTCTGATGAAGACCCAGTGAGGCCAAATGCGTTAGTGTTTAAAAAAAGACCCTTTGCCCTCAAATAATACAGGCTTTTAACGTTTTTGTAAATCCCTTGAAACACTCAGCCCTTTTTTTTTGCTTTACACTGACTCTGATCCTGCGTCTGAAGAGCTCCAGGGAGAAACATTTGAAAACACTTGTGCAGCATTTCAGTAGCTTAGTATGTTTTGAGCAGGAAACAACTTCATAACATGACTAAATGCTCACAAGAGGCAATTTTCCTTAATATAGGACCTTTAATGTTTTGAAGCATAGCATGATATCATTAAAGTGTGGTTTTAACTTTCTATTTTCATGGATTCATGCAGGTAATGGTCCGGAAAGTCACATACATATAACTACCTGAACTGGCACTAAACCAGGACTAAACCAGGACTAAACCAGGACTAAACCAGCACTAAACCAAGTGTACAACAGGAGCATGCTCTGAAGCACTAAAAGACACCTAAGAGCTTCATTTATACAGAAGCTGCTCTCCATAACTGGAGGGTACACCACCTGCTCGTGTCCGTGATTACTGTGAGCGGGATGCCGGGTTCCACCTGGTGCCAACACCTGTTTGTCTTCATGGAAAAAAATGTGTTTAATGTCATACTGTGGGACATTTCCAGGCATCTGTTATTAATAACCTGTATCAGCGAATATGTGTGAGAATGAAGCTGAAAGTTTTATTCTGAAGTAGTCAAACATAATGTAATGTTTGACTACTAATGTTTGTAGTTGTAGTTTTAATAGGACTTGGTGATTTGTAACTTGTAAGTAAAAAAAATGTTCGTAACAATTTGCACTAGCACTTTTAAAGTCAATTTTACTGCTGTAATATCAGGTACAATTTACTTGTCAGTATTAAGTAAAATGTACTTTCCACTAGGGCTGGTATCATTAAGAAGTGGCAGATATGATACATACCTCGATACACAGGCCACAATATGATACATACCTCGATACACAGGCCACAATATGATACATACCTCGATACAGTGCACTTTTGATTCGATACGATATATTTTAAAGCGATTCAATATGGTTCAATAAAAAATAAAGGCTAATTCATGGCTGTCATACAAAAAATCTTTGTAAACCACTTCTTGTGCAAAGTGAATATGAAACACAAACATCTGAATAATCAAAACAGTGAAAATGTCAAATGTGTCACATAAACGAGTTTCCAACAAAACTGTAACTCTGTAACAAAATAACTGAGTAAAATATAACCAACAAATATTGGTGATATATCGATATTTCAATATTTTTGCACACCCTTACTTACCACCATGATTAACAGTCATGAATTGTTAGTAATAGTAATTGTTACTCCTTAGAAGTCGTATTTATGTAAATCAATTAAGTAAAATATATGAAATATTGTCATATTTAATTGCATTGCTGTGATGAAATAATTAAGTAAATATTATGTGTCTAGTATTTACTGATGTATAATAAATGGTCAATTTTTATGTAGCTCTTTTCCACCACCCAACCACCCATTCACACACACACACACACACACACACACCAGTGTACACAGACACACACTACCAACTTGTGGGTCAGTAGATCTGAGAGAGCAACCACTGAATGTCGAGAGCGGAATTCAAACCACCAAAATTCGGATCAGTGGACAAATACTCAACCAACTGAGCTACTGTCACCCAGGCCCAACTCTGTAGCCGCTGAGTGCAGGACTCATCTAAGAGGACGTTGGCATTACTCAGTATTTGTGGGGTTGTGAATAGCGACCATAAAACCTTTAAAACATGTTGGTGATTATTCTATAGTAGAACTGACTCATTAAACTCAACACTTAGACTGCATATGTACAATAAATACATTTTGTCCATTGCTATTAAATAAGTTGTAGTTCTCACAGAATTATGTTATTTCAATGTAAAAATGACCACAGCTGATTTAATATATTTTACTACTTCCAGAAGTTTTTTTTTTTTTTTTTTTCAGTGTATAAGGTTGTATATTATTGATACTTTGCAATGATATATGCTGGGGGGTTCTACATGCATGTCTATTGGTGGAATGTTCAGCAGTTTCTATGGTGACACAATGCACACATTAGAATATCTGCCAACAGTCAAAACCCCCCAAAACAAACAAAAAAACAAACAAACAAAAAACACAAAATGGATTTAACAATAGTTCTTTCTAGTCAGATTGTGTTCAAATAAAGCTCAGAATAAGTCTAACATGAGTGATGCCCGACATACACTGTGCAATTTTGGACTTTTTTTTTCACTCTTACGGCTGTTTTTGGGATCAGAAATCATGTGTCGTGCTGTAGTAAACATGGGGTAACAAGAATCGATTAAAACCTTATGACCAGATCCCAATCCAGTCGTAGGTCACAGGAATATCAAACCTGTTTGAAATCCAATCACCTCTTGTGAGGGTTTTGCTCTGTTGAAGTAGTTCATATAGTGTGAGAACATGAATCTTGAGATGTAGATTTTACTATATTTTACCTTTTACCTTACTCTTTGTGGTTGTATATTATGGATTTACATCATGAACTTGTTAATTTCATGAACTGACTGATGACTTTTTAAAGTTACAATCTTGTTCACTGTTCACTCTTTGATTCAGTCAAGTGATCGAACACATGTCTTCCTCTCTGGCGGACATTTTGCTCTTTTAACATGCTCTGATGAAGAGCCAGGGAGGCCAATATACATTAGTGTTTAAAAAAAGACCATTTGCCCTCAAATAATACAGGCTTTTAACGTTTTTTGTAAATCCCTTGAAACACTCAGCCCCCTTTTTTTTTGTATTACACTGACTATGATCCTGAGTCCAAAGAGCTCCAGGAAAAAAACATTTGAAAACACTTGTGCACCAGTAGCTTAGTGTGTTCTTCAGGAGGAAACAACTTTATAACATGACTAAAAGCTCACAAGAGGCAATTTTTCTTAATATAGGACCTTTAATGTTCTTAAGCATAGTACAATAGCATTTCTGTTTTCATGGATTGATGCAGATAATGGTCCGGAAAGTCACATACACTTTCACTAAACCAGGTCTAAAATGTGTCCAGATGTCAATGTCCAGCTGTATGCTGACGATGCTGTGATTTTTACACATGCCAAAACTGTACAAGAAGCTTCAGAAAAGCTAACATCCGCCATGACTCATGTCCAAAAGTGGGTCAAGAATTCATGCTTGCAACTCAACATAAAGAAAACTGTCTGCATGATGTTCAGCAAAAAAACAATTGATCTACAGCGGTCCAATGTGTTTCTGGACGGCGTGGAACTCAGCCTTGTCAAAGACTTTAAATACCTGCGACTGACGCTGGACCCGACATTGACATTTAAGAAACACATTAAGCGCCTTACAAAAACTGTTAATTTTAACTTAGTGAATTTTAGACAAAGTAAGACCTTTTATGACTCTATATGCGGCATGAATGTTTTTACACTCCATGATTCTGTCCCATATAGACGACTGCATAACCACACGGTCACTCGCTGCTGCACAACACTCAAACCCATCGAATCACTTTTTTAAAAAGCCATAAAAATATTGGACAAGAAACCATTCTCATTTCACCACTGCACTATTTTAGACAAGTATAATTTGCTTAATTTTAATAATTTTATTGGTTTTAAATATGGATGTTTTGTCTATAAAGTTTTGCATGGACTTGCTCCTCCTCCATTACTGGATTTTATTAAAGTAAAGACTGTGAGTGGAACTAGGGCCACAGCCCGGGGGAACTGTGACGTCCCACACAGACGCACAACATTCAGACAAGGTGTGTCTCAGTCAGAGGCACAACATTTTGGAACAGTCTGCCACTATCAATAAGAGAAACTTCAACTCTTGACACCTTCAAGTCCTCCTTAAAAGAATGGCTAAAGAAAAAACAGACTTGTGGACACTTTTAGTATAGATTTGTTACTTGTTTTTGATTTGTTTAAATTTGTGGTGTTACCTGCCGAGGGACGACAGATGGAAATTAGCACTCTTGCTATAATCTGGCATATTTACACTGCAATGTTGTAGATGTTCATTAAGATGCACTGTCCCTATTAAATAAAATTAAATAAAAATAAACCAGGACTAAACCAAGTGTACAACAGGAGCATACTAAATGTACCATTTATGAAGCACTAAAAGACACTGAAGAGCTTCATTTGTACTGAAGCTGCTCTCCATAACTGCAGGGTACACCACCTGCTCGTGTCCATGATTACTGTGAGTGCGATCGCCTCTCGTACGGGTTTTGCTCTGTTGGAGTCGTTCATATAGTGTGAGAACATGAATCGTGAGCTTTGAACCATGCGATTTGGTCGTACAGTTTGAGCTGGGCCTGAGTGAAACCATCAAAAATATTGCACAGTGAACATCCGACATAACAGAGTCTCTAAGGCTACATTCAGACTGCAGCGTGAAGTGACCCAAATCAGATTTTTTGGCCCCTATGTGACCTGTATCTGATCTTTTAATGACACAGATCCGATTTTTTCAAATGCGACCCAGGCCACTTGGATATGTGCTCCTGAAACTGATACATATCTGATCTTTTGACATGCGACTTCAGTGTGAACGGCCAAAATGCATTCATCCACCTACACATTATCAACAAGCCACAAACGTGACTATTCTGAGCTGAAGTAGGTGAAAATTGTTTATGAACTCCGTGTCACTGAAGTGAAGCACATCACCACTCACCACTCTTGGCTCTGTCTCCACATCCACACGTTCCTTTCAACGGACGTCGCTGCTGCTGCCCCACAAAACACCACGGCCAAAAACCTCGTCCTTCTCCTTCTCAATCTCCTCCTTAAAACAAGTAAGTTGTTCATGTTCTGGCTCCGGTACAAGAGAAACTTTAAAATCTCCAGGTGCTCAATGTTCACCTCCATGTTTGGACAACTTCCATAAACACACTCGCTGCGGTTGACGTCGTCGTGTCTCCAGTGTCACATGCGGGACACTTTTGGGCCATTTAATGTTCACACTGGAGTCACATACAAGTCACATTTAATTGGAAATGTGAACGACCTCGCAAAAACATCGGATTTCACAAAAAAATCGGAATTGAGCGTTAAGCCCTGCAGTCTGAACGTAGCCTAACAGAGCAGTGCTTTCAGTTAGCGTCAAACCCCCAAAACTGCTTTATCTTTGAACCAATCTTTTTTTAAATTTCTTACACTGATTCATATTTACAACCTTTAATTTAATGCTGTTTTAGTATCAGAAATCTTCCAGTGTGTTCTGTACATTGTAGTTACGTTTGTTTGTTTTTTTTCCAATCTGTGTTCCAGCCCAAAGAGCCCAGGTTCGGGTAAACTGTCCCCGTCCAGCCCCCCTCCTGGTCCACTCAGCCCCAAACCAGTGCTCACCCCAAAGACGCCGGTCAAGGTAAGAGACTGCCATGCTTTATTTCATTTATTTATTTATTGCTTTACCACATTTTTGCTGTCTGGTGTTGTCAACAAGTACCAGTGAATGATTTGGAATGACTTTTGGTACACAGGATTTAGTCAATTCACATTAAAGGTGCATTGCGTCACTTTTCTGGTGGATACAAGCAGGTGACAGACCCTCCACTGGAAATGTTACGCAGCGCACCTTTAAAATGCGCTTGTCTTGTATTGATTTGTTAAGTTACACATATTTGACCAGACCAGTGAATATATCGTTGTTGTATTTTTGTTGCTGTATCAGATGTTGCTCAGTCTCACATTGATTCGTTGCATTATTAATACAGCTGATCTATACATTTCTCCCTCTGTTACATTTCACATCCTGGAAACGGCTGATTTCTGAATGCGAGGCTGGATTAGATGATGATTTTGCATTGCTAAACAGTGAAAAACTCATATAATAATAATAAGTATATTGGATGAACATTTGCTTTTGTTGCTACGCTTGATGTTTTCGATTGAAAAGTTGGAGCTTTAATGTGGTCTGGGCTTTGTCTGCAGGGGAACTACTGTCATTGCTACTATAGAGCAGGGGTCTCCAAGCGTTTTCCTCCTGTGAGCTACCAAGCTTACAAAACTAAAGTGCCAGAGAGCTGCTCATTTTAGCGGCCACAAGAAATTGAGACGATTATAAGAAAGATTGCAAGTCTTGGGGTACAGTTAGACGCCTATAAAACGTAAACCATTGTCCATTTATTAACAGTGTTGGGAGTAACGCGTTTTAAAAGTAATGAACTGTAATGCGTTGCTTTTTGCTAGAACGCAGTAATGTTCGGCATTACAGGGAAAAATTTGTAATGTTTTACTCGGTACAAATGTGAGTAACGTGCGTCACAATGCTTTTTTAACCTGGATTGAAGTGGTGGGTTTTTCTTCATACAAATTCGCTAAAATTACCACAATATCAGCAGCGATGAAACACCAGAGATGCGCCCATGTAGACTGTCAGGGGACCACGAGCGAAAGGACCGGCGCAGAACTCCACTCTCCATGGCGCTAACCGTAGATGACGCCCGATCGTGCCTTGCAGACATCCTGTTCCATGGACTTGGGGTACTCTCAAGGGTGGTCCTAGATTCCACGTTCTAGTCGAAGATTAGTCCTGGTTTGGTCCTGGTTTAGTCCTGGTTTAGTCCTTGTTTAGTCCTGGTTTAGTCCTTGTCTAGTCCTGGTTTAGACCTGGTTTAGTCCTTGTCTAGTCCTGGTTTAGACCTGGTTTAGTCCTTGTCTAGTCCTGGTTTAGACCTGGTTTAGTCCTTGTCTAGTCCTGGTTTAGACCTGGTTTAGACCTGGTTTAGTCCTTGTCTAGTCCTGGTTTAGACCTGGTTTAGTCCTGGTTTAGTCCGTGTTTAGACCTGGTTTAGACCTGTGTCACTTCTGGTTTAGACCTGGTTTAGTCCTGGTTCTGTTCTGGTTTAGTTCTGGTTCAGTCCTGGTTCAGTTCTGGTTTAGTCCTGGTTCGGTCCATATACGGCGCAAAAGTTCAGCATCTTCACAGTTATTTTGGTGAGAGTAACTTAAAAGTAATGCAACAGTAATGTAATGCTTTACATTTTAAACACAGTAATGTTGTAATGTAACAAATTACTCTGAAATGACAGTAACAAGTCATAAATAACACATTACAGTTTTAAAGTAACTTGCCCAAGCAGTGTTTTCTCGTGCATAAAGTTGGGTTTCAAAAGGATACATTTGGTAATTAGCATGTAATTAACCATATTTTAGTTTTTCAGCACAATAGTGTAATTGTGAAATCCCTTGGTGAGCTACTTGGAAGGAGGTGGAGACTCCTGCTTTAGAGGATGCATTGTGTGCGGTTAAACTAATCTGACTGTTCAAAATGTTTATGGATATGAATCATTGTAATTTTAATCTTGTACTATATAAGTTCCATATTTAAACAATGGTTATAGTAATGTACTTTGCTATAACTGAAAACAACAATAATCCAGCAGAGAACTTTATGGTTAAGCTTTTTTCTGCACATTCTGGTGATACAATTGTGATTATTTTTCTTGTTGGCGATTATCATGATTATATGACACAGTATCAATATCGGGAGCCGCTGTATCGACGTATTTTGCCAAGAGTATTTTTTATCATAATTTACTAAATTATTTTATTACAGCGCTACAGTTTTGTTGCTTGTTTAGAGGAAGGAAACTTGTTTCTGCAGCACATTTGATTTGATTTTCACTGTTTTGAGGATTAAAATGTTTGTGTTTCATCTTCACCTTGCACAGGAAGTGGTTTAACAAACACTTTTAGTATCACAGCCTTTATTTATGCCATTATTTTTATTTAACTGTATTGAATTGATTTAAGATATATTGTATTGAATCGAAAACGCTCTGTATCAAGATATGTATCGTATCGTGACCTATTTGTCGAGGTATGTATCGGCAACTTATTAATGATACTAAATTTTATATAATCATGATTATATAAAATGTCCCAAGACCGATTACTTGCCTAGACTTGAAACTGAAAACAACAAGAGAACTTTTTGATTACGCTTTTTTCTGCACATTCTGGTGATCCAGCGGCGACTGTTTTTGTTGTTGGCGATTATCATGATTATATAAAATGTCCCCGCAAATGTTTATTTGCCTTGCCTTTTTATCACGATAAACAATATAATTGTTTGTTGTCACATCCCTAACTGTTATTATAGAGGAAGTATTGTGTGTGGTTAAAGTAAATATTGTTATGTGATGCTTCAGTTGGTGCGTTTCATCTTTTAATGTCATTGTCATTCACACAGCTATTCACAGAGATTAATGAAGGAAACAAGAACACACTACACGTTCTGAAGTGAGAGTTGTCATACCTCTTTGTTGATTCCTGATATTTTTGGATGACCCACTAGCTGCCATGTTCCAAATAGGAAGTGAGTATGGGGGCGCTTCCGGCTCCATCGACTCTGGCTCCAATTGACTTGACATTGAAAAATCGCAGCCCCTCTCTCTGTAACTGCTGCTGTCAGGCTCCTCATTTTAGTCTTAAAATGTTCATATTAACCCGCTCTACACGCAGGATTATGTTAGGGATAACAATAACCGAAATATCGTGATATCGTATCGTCAGAGTTCTCACAATAATATCGTGGACCATTACAATACATCGAATTACAAGTCCCTTTACTTAAATGAAGAGTTATGGTTCAGCAATAGCTAAAAAAAGACAGAGGGAACTACATAGACCATAATCCTTTACTCCATTTTAGTGCAGACTACAAGAAGAAATAACAGTTTTAAGCACTTTTAAGTGTTAGTTCTTTGGATTAAGTCTTATCAAGGCATTAAAAAGGAAAAAAATAGCCTATTAACAGTTTTGTTTGTAAGCCTCCACAAAATAACACAACAAATATCGTACCGTGAGATGTATATCATGAGAATATCATACGAGAGATTTGGATATTGTTACATCCCTAATCGTGAGCCTCTCCACCGTATCGTGAGCAATAAATATCGTACCGTGACAATATCGTAACATGAAACTTGGATACCGTTACACCCCTAGATCCTGGTGTTTTTATTTCGCTATTTTGTCCTTAAATAAACTGGAACTGGCTCCAGAGCGGATGCATCTATAACCGCCAACCTCGATGAGCTTCATTTGACTGGATTGGAACACGATGGGTGACGTCACACTCATTTAGTTCACTTTTTTATGCAGTCTGTGACCAGGTCCTAAGTGGGGCAGCAGTGGCTCTAGTGGGATTTTTTTTCTCGTATCAATTGTTAAATTGGTGAAGATAAATGAAGATAAATTTCAGTGCTATTTAACCGAAAAAAACAGTCTAATTTATTCCTCCAAACATCATACTTTTACAGACATTGGATTGTCCGTTTGAAACAATTTGAAACACATGAATCTGTATTTGATCACTGTTATTGCACAGCCCTAACTTCAGCTTCATTGTAAATGTAATTCCTTGTTTCTTTTGTGGTCATGTGTCTGAGAGAAGTCGAAAGTGGAACAGCCTCTGATTTACTGGTTTGTGTCTCCCGAACTCCCTCTCTGACCTGATAACACAGAACTTTACACGTCTGTGCTCAGTGTGCGAATCGGACACTCACTTTTACAAACGTGAGCGAAAGGAGGTCAGGCGCTTTGGTGCACTGATGGAAAGACAATGGAAATAATTTGAAAGAAACGAGTTCAAATGGAGACGGGGCAGTGATGGTGCGAATAGTATGGACTGCATCTGCATCCTCATGACCAAGGTAAGAGCTGGTATGAGGCTCAATGCTTCTGTCAAAATGTTGAATTAGTGGTTTCATTTGCGGTTTGTGTTTTAATTGTTGCATTCATTTCACATTGCACATTTTAAACACGTCCGAAAGCCTTGAATTTTAAGACGAGACTGAAGCACAAACAGCTAAAATAATACACAGATGGTTTAGTAGGGGATCTGTCACTCACTTGCTTTTCTTCATGGAGCAGAGGTGGAACCAAGTCGTTGTTTTGCAAATCTCAAGCAAGTCTTAAGTCTTTGAAATCAAGTCTGAGTTAAGTCCCAAGTCAAATGCAGGCAGGTCCAAGTTGAGTCTTGAGTCACTGACTCGTAAGTCCAAGTCAAGTCCAAGTCGTCTGCTTTGAGCTTCAAGTCATTTCAAGTCTTAAGTACCAAATATAGGTTAGATTTGTGCAATGTATATGAATTTTAAGATAAATTGTACTTAAAAAGTCATGGTATATTTCTAGATGAGTATCTATAGAGTATGTAAGAGTTGTAGAAATGTTAAATGTTGTTATTGTTGTTTTCCTTTTTAAATGTCTTGACAAGATCTTAGCATGAGTTATTACAGTCAGAATAGGAAGAATTTAGATTTAAAAGTGCTTCTCAAGTCTTCTGAAGTCACAGGCTTCAAGTCCGAGTCATGTCCCAAGTCACTGACCTTCAAGTGCAAGTCGAGTCCCAAGTCCTAG